CATTATTATATTTATACATACAAGAAGGCAATAAAGCAGAATACAATATCGTAATAAAATAGAACAATTCGATGAACTATCAAGGCAGAGTGCAGATCAGAGTGCTCGTCACCCGCGGACACTGCAGGAGGAGAGCGACTGTGGGGCAGAAGCGGCCCTCATATATCAATAAGGATATAATTCTTATTTCATCCAGATAACACTGTGTGTTATTCTGCACGGCGCGCACTGCAAGGCAATGATTATAATTTTGTTCTGAGCATAAAGAGCACTGCTTGTCTCAAATAAATACAAATATATATATACATATATTTGTCTTTCTAACGTGTCCCGTGTAAAATTGAAGATTTTACATTGAAGATGGTAGCCTAGCTGATGATCTTGTGTCAATACGAATAATATTATTATTATCTAGATAATATTTCCCACGGTGATTTCGGCTGGAAAGAGAAAACAGTCTGGAGATGACGTAAGAAGTAGACGCATATAGCAGCGCAAAGACGTTATGGTCCTGTGCTTTTCTAAACTATCATTTATATTGTTTGAATTTACATATTGTTACTGAGTCAAATATAACATATAGTGAGCAACCTTTTAGGTGTTTGCAAAGTTACAAAATAAATCTAGCCTGAAAAGTCATCGTAATTTTGATGGATCAGTACACGCACAATGTGTCGTCTTAGCCTTTTATTTCGGCTAGAATTACAATTACTTAGCATATTTAGACAAATAATTTACACAGTTTCATTATGATCACGATTCCTTTGCAACATCAAGTTCTGGTTTAGTGAACAATCAATTTGGCAAAAGGCTGTATCAGCGCAAAATACATAGCGGTCAACTGACCGCAGGGGGCGGTGCAAGGTATGTTTAGAGCGCGGCGGTCCTAGTGTTAATGACAGATACGCAAAAGAGCCGAGTTCCATACTTGAATCCTTTGGCCTCACTCAGCATGTGAGTGGCCCCACCCATAGCAGAGGACACACCCTGGACCTGCTTATCACGAAAGGGGTGAATATTTCAAAAGTTAATGTAGTTGATGTTGCTCTGTCGGATCATTTCTGTGTATTTTTTAACATGTGTTTTGCTACCAGACCACCCGCTAAATATGAAATTGTTAGAAGTAGACACTTAAATGAAAACACGGGTGAACTATTTATGGGAATGATCCATTTTGAGAACACATCATGTTCTACTGTAGATGAACTGTTTAACTCTGTCACCTCTAGTGTGTTGAATGTTCTGGACGCCATTGCCCCTGTGAAGGTAAAAATGGTCACAAATAAGCAAAAAGCCCCATGGATAAAAGCAGGCCCGGTCAGGGCACAGAAGCAAGAGTGCCGGAGAGCAGAGAGAAAGTGGAGAAAGTCCAACCTCCAGGGTGATTATAAACTCTTAAAAGAGAAGTTGTGTGAGTTTAACAGAGTACTACGTAGAATAAGAGAATTATACTTTTCTGAAACTATTGAAGGCTGCAGCAACAATCTGCGTGTTCTATTTTCAACAATCAATAGATTAACGAACCCCCCTGTTGAGTTGCCATTAGAACACTACTCCAAATCCAGGTGTAATGAGTTTGCACAGTTCTTCAGAGACAAGGTTCAGGGTATCAGAAATACCATCACCTCTACAACACAAGTAACAATGCAACATCCAGTGAGGCTTTGTGAGCTAGCTCAATTTGCACCTGTCAATGATGAAACTGTTAAAAAGATAATCACAGGTCTTAGTTCCTCTACCTGCAGTCTGGATGTACTACCTCCTAGATTCCTGAAGTCTGTTATGTGTAGTCTATTACCCTCATTGACACAAATAGTAAACATGTCTTTTTTATCTGGAACATTTCCAATGGCCCTGAAAAAGGCAGTCATCAGGCCCCTCCTAAAAAAGAGCAGTTTGGATGCTGCGGTACTTGAAAATTACCGCCCCATCTCAAATCTGCCTTTCATGGGAAAAATTCTTGAAAAAGTTGCCTACCAACAACTTACTGAATTTTTAATATCTAATGACTCATTTGACATGTTTCAGTCTGGCTTTAGACCACACCACAGTACTGAGACCGCTCTAGTCAAGGTAACAAATGATATTCGGCTTAACACTGATGCAGGAAAAGTCTCTGTTTTAGTCATGTTAGATCTGAGTGCCGCTTTCGACACCGTTGACCATGAGATTCTCATGCAGAGACTGGAGGACTGGGTTGGTGTTGCTGGTACCGCCCTAAGCTGGTTTAGGTCCTATCTAGAAGAAAGGAAGTATTGTGTGGAGATTGGAGACTATGTCTCAGATAATATGGCCCTGACCTGCGGAGTGCCACAGGGGTCGATTCTGGGACCTCTCCTGTTCAATATTTACATGCTGCCATTAGGTCAGTTAATTCAAAGTATGAAAGTGTCCTACCACAATTACGCTGATGACACTCAGATCTATGTCTCACTGACTGCAGGAGAACATGGACCGGTGGACTCACTCCTTCGCTGTATCCAGCGGATCAGTGAGTGGATGCAATGCAATTTTCTCCAGCTAAATGCGGACAAAACCGAAATGATTGTCTTTGGTCCCGAGAAACAAAGAGAGACCGTCATTTGTCACCTTCAGTCTCTCTCCCTAAGGCCTTTAAATAAGGTCAGAAATCTGGGAGTAATAATGGACTCTGACTTAAACTTCAATAGCCACATTGGATCGGTAACATCAGCAGCTTTTTATCATCTGAAAAATATTGCCAAAATTAAAAATATTGTGTCCAGGGCAGACTTGGAGATTCTTATCCATTCTTTTGTTTCCAGTAGGCTGGATTACTGCAATGGCCTGCTCACAGGTATCTCCAAACATGCAGTAAAACAGCTGCAGTATATTCAAAATGCTGCAGCCCGAGTCCTGACTAGAACCAGGAAGTACGACCACATTAGTCCGGTCCTCAGGTCTCTGCACTGGCTTCCCGTGGCCCAGAGGATAGACTTTAAAGCAGCTCTCCTGGTGTACAAGTCTCTCCATGGCCTTGCACCAAAGTACATCCATGATATGCTAGTCCCATATGAACCAGCCCGGACTCTGAGGAGCGCAGGGACGGGACTCCTGTTAGTGCCCAGAGTCAGGACTAGACAGGGGGAGGCTGCTTTTCAGATTTATGCAGCTAAAGTCTGGAACAGTCTTCCTGAGGATGTGAGACTGGCTGCCTCTCTGTCAATGTTCAAATCCATGTTAAAGACTTTTCTTTTTTCCTGTGCATACAACTAGAGAATTTTATCGTTTTAACACACCTTGTTATTTATTGTTGTAACTTTTTGTGTTTTTAACTATTTTATTGTTTTTAATTACTTGTGTGATTCTTATGTTTTTAAATTACTTATGTGATTTTAATGCTTTTTAATTACATATGTGTTTTTAATTGTATTTTAATGGTGATGATTTGTGCATTGTGTGGTGTGGACTGTGAGGCGCTTTGTGTTGCCCTGTGCAGGAAAAGCGCCCTATAAATAAAGATTGATTGATTGATTGATTGATTGATGTTAAACTGCAGAAGAAGTTATATGCATTACAAAACGTGATCAAATATGAGGTAAGAATTGCATAAATCGAGTGTTCTTTTAATCTTCATTTGTCTTTAAACAAGATGTGCTAATGAGACAAAGGCAATTTAGTTTTAGATGCAGCGAAGAACTGTTTTTTTCTCATTCAGAGGGAGACGTTTCTTGTATCTTTTTAAAACAAGATTCTTTTGCCTGTTTCATTGGCAAATTTATTTTAAGACTTTGATTTTGTAAAATTTTAGTATTAAAAAAAATAAAAATGCATCACTCCATAACTTTGTGACTTGAATTAGAAAATAATTCCATTTTGAGTGGAGAAGAGGAAGTGCAAGAGCTAGTAACCATAGCAAAATACTCTTAGCCTGCTACCAGTTTGCGTTAGCGTTTTTTCTGCGATTCAAGTTGTATTCACCAGTTTTCACACTTCCCAGAGTGACTTCACTATCGTCACTATAGCAGCTGCTAAATCCTCCGCATTGTTGAAACAAATTGGACACTGCATTAAAAATAGTAGACTGAAAATAAGCCGCAAAAAGCTCCAATGTGCGTTTTCCCTTAAAGGTCCATTCTGACTAATAGGCGAAAAATACTTCCTATGCCACGCCCCCTTTTGGTCACTTGGTGGCAACCCAGCAATGAAGAATAAAGCTTCTTTATTATGCTAAAGATAGAGAGTTATACTTGTTAACTCTCTATCTTTAGCATAATAAAGAAGCGGATTGGCCTCCTGCTGGGACTCTGAGGAGCAAAGGGACTGGCCTCCTGCTGGAGCCAGAGTCAGGACTTTATGCATAATCTGGAATAGTCTTCCCGAAAATGTGATTAAATCCAAGTTAAAAACAGTTCTGTTTCGCTGTAACAACTGAAGGATTTAATCTTCCCTCTGCACTGTTATTATTTATGATGTTAATGCCTTGTCTGTTTGTTTCTTGTTTTGTTCAGCACTTTGAGTTGCCTATGTATGAACTGTGCTATACAAATACACTTGTATACACTTTTTACATTGCAGAGTGTCTCTACTTCTCATTGGTTCAAAGTGTTTCGTGCCTCCTTGGTTTGACAGCTTTCAATGGAGTGTTGTGTAGTGAGGAGACAGTGTTGTGTACTGAGGAGACAGTGTGTTGTGTAGTGAGGAGACAGTGTTTTGTACTGAGGACGGCTGTCTATATTTACATACAGCAGCCAGAAGCATGCTCTGTCTTCTTTAAGTAGCATTTTTACTGAGCCTATAATTCTTGGAAAGATATTTTGCTTTTATTTCAAGGAAAAGAGTATGTGCTAATCTGATTCCAACCACATGTGAGACATACAAATGTGTGTGTGTGTGTCGGTAGAAAAACTCAGCTAAAAGGTTCTAGGTTTCTAAGAGAAGTAAATGGGAAAATACAATAGAAAATATTCTAAGGTGTTTGCGAATATTGTTTTATTTATGCTTAGTTATATGTACTTTTCCTCAATGTTGGTTCAGAGGAGTTAGCAGCATGCGAGTTTCCTGTACCACCTCCGACGCTTCTTTTCCAACTGGAGCTCCACGGCCAACCACTTGTCCTCCAGCAGGGAGCGCTCTTCTTGTGTCTCCATGAGTTTCTGGGTCAAAGCACCAGACTTTTTCTCCAACAGAGAGCGGTCCTCTTCTGTTTTCAGCAACTTTTGGGTTAAGGTACTGGCCTTAACTTCCAACAGAGAGCGGTCCTCTTCTGTTTTCAGCAACTTTTGGGTTAATGTATTGGCCTTAACCTCCAACAGAGAGCGGTCCTCTTCTGTTTTCAGCAACTTTTGGGTTAATGTATTGGCCTTAACCTCCAACAGAGAGCGGTCCTCTTCTGTTTCCTTTAGCTTTTGGGCTGAGGTACTTGCCTTGACCTCCAACAGAGAGCGGTCCTCTTCTGTTTTCAGAAGCTTTTGGGACAAAGCACTAACCTTTACCTCCAGCAGAGAACACTCTTGCTGTACTGTGCTCTGACCCTTTTTGAGATCTTCACATTGTCTCAAAATGGCGTCCTTCTCTTCCTTCTCCTGCCGCAGCTCCTGCTTCAAGTCCTTCAGTGACTCGTTCAGGAAACTGTTGGCGTCTTCTTTTGTTCGGAGTTGCCTCTGAACCTCTTGTACCTGCAGGTTCAGCGCAATCTCCCGGTCCCTGGACTTGAGGATTATGTCTCTCATCACGTCCAGCTCCATGTTTTTATTCTGGATTTCCTGCAGCATCAGAGTCTTGTCCTGAGACTCTTTTTGCAGTTGCCCATCCAGTTCGCCACATCTCTTCGAAAGCGCTGCCATCTCTTGTTTGAGGTTTCCCAAAGAAACTTCAAATCTAGCATTCTTCTGAAGCAGCTTTGTGTTTTCTGCCTCAGTCTTCATGAGATGTGACTTTGCTTCCTCTGTTTGAAGGCAAAGGAATTTCCTTTCCAAGTGCCATTCTTGGGTTTGTTGCAGAGAATTTTCTTTCAGTTTGTCTGTCAAGTCTGTGAGTCCAGTAACCTGGCTTGTCAGACTCACTATTTCCTGATTCCTTGACTGGATCTGTGCCTTGAGTTCCATAGACTCATTGAGCAGAGAGGTGTTCTCTTCTCTCACTCGTCTCAGTTCATCCTCCACGTCCTGCTTTGCCTTGGCTTGCCGGTCGAGTTGTATCTTGTGGGCACCGATGATCTTCTTTGTTTTGTTGAGCAAATCAAACTTCACGTCCTCCAGCTCTTTCTTTAACTGTTGGACGCTCATTTGATGCACAACTTTCAGGGCAAGAATGGATTCTTCAGGACACTTACTCACGTCCTCAGACTTTCTGCTTAGTTGGCGTTTATCGACCACTTGTGGTCGGTCAATTTCACGCAGCGACTTTTGAGTTGTGTCCAACTTCTGACACCTCCCTCGCTCCAGCTGTTGAGTTTTTGTAAAGTCTGGGACCAGTTTCACCGCTGGTTCACATAGTCCATCCACCTCTTCAGCTGGTTCAGAAGGACGGACTCCTTCAGGCGTTTCACCCAGCACTTCCATGAGGTTGAAGTCCTCAGTGTATAGTACTGTGTCCTCCTCCGGAGAGTATTCATGCCAGTGTTTGTACATTCTGATCAACTGCTTGTATTGCTGCTTTATTTCAAAAACTGCAATGGGCTGTAGTAGTCAAATGACTTCTGGGACCAAAGGGCGCCAGCTTCATCTACACAATCTTTTGAAAGTTCTAGAACCTGTGCATGTCATCAGCGGTTGCCATAGATATGGAATTCCAATTTATAGAGAATAGAACCTTTTATGAAAATCTGTGTTGCCATGGATATGGAATGTTAAATGGAATCTGTATAGGATTTAAGATTGAATTAAACATATATTTTATGAATATTAGAAATGTGAAAGGATTTCTGAAAATGAAGTTTTTTATTGAAATCAATGCAATTAAGCTTAAGGCTACAATCTGGAGAGGTGTGGTCATTAACACACACTGTCCCAAGCAAAAAATAATAAAATGAATGATTAAAAAACACAAACAAAACAAAGGGCTGCAGAGTCAGCATATAGAAATAAAAATAGACAAAAACTGTCAATAACAGGTGTCGATTTTTAGGAAAATGTCTAATAAGGAACGGAAAAAATGCGTTAGCGTGGTTGCAACCCAGAAATAGTGTAATAATGACATCATACTGAAACAGGAGTGACACTTATTCCAGAAGTTTTTTATATCAGCGTGAATAAATCTATATTTTGGATGACGAGTTTTGTAGCAAGGTTAAAAGCAAAGAAAAAAGTTGATTTGCATTATAGGGTTAAAAAAGTGTTTAAATATGTGCCCTGTGTCACTCTCCTTGCCTGTGGGTGTCCTCTAATTAATCAATCACTACTTTTTTTTCTGAAAACATTTAACTCACACACCCAATGCATCATGGCACCAGTTCTGGGTTAGGGTTCAGGGGTACAGGGGGTACAGAGTGTGTGGGATACTGCTGACCTGAGCAAGGCCTGGCTGCGATGGAGGCGCCACTGGCACAGCGCTTGGACACACATACACATGCACACACACATAAACACACTCACCTGACTCTAGCTTTGGCTTCTTCCACATTGAGGAAACACTATGTTCTTGACGTTAACACTCGGCGCGTCCACTTGCAGTAATACGGTCTATGCTTGTAAGAAAGAGCCCTGTAAGTCACTATTGGAGGCCTTGGGTTGAGAGCTGATTGGCTAAATGAGAGTGGAAAGGCAAGGTAAGTTTATTTGTATAGCACAATTCATACACAAGTCAACTCAAAGTGATTAACAATACAAGATAGAAACATGGCATTACAATCACAAATAATCACAGTGCATTAAAAAGAAAGATGTTGTAATATGGTTAAAAGTTACAAACATATTTTACATTTTGCTTTGTGGGGCTGACAAAACCTTTCTGTAAATATTCCACAAAAAGCGAGTTATTCTTTTGTGTTTTCAAATAACAATACTGGGATTATAACACTGAGGATTACACTTCCAGAACCAGAACAGACGGACCCTTTGCAGCTGAGATAACTACAGCAATTACAGCTGTTTACAAGAAAATAGGAATCAGCATTTGTGGATCAAACTCCAGCTCTGTTTTTGATGAGAGGAAATCATCAATCAACCAATCACATTTATTTATTGATTGATTGGTATTTGGGTTCAATTCCCACCTTGACACCTTCTCCACCGACTCCCACTGATGTCTGCTGTCGTTGTGTCCTTGAGCAAGACACTTAACCCCACTTTGCACAAAGCCCCCAATGAGAGATCATGGCTATGCTCACATTGACAGAGCAGCCATCCTCCTGTGGACTCACCACCTGCAGAGGATCAGTGAGGGGCTGGTGCTCTGTGACCCCCGACCCAGAAATGGATCAAGGGGAAGAAAATGGATGGATGGATGGTATTTCAGGGAAAGTGGGGTTATGCATCTTGCCCAGGGACACAACGGCAGCGGTGGGAGACTCTGATCCATTGTCGCCCCTCACGGTTATTAGTATAGCACAATCTGTACATAGTATTTCAAAGTGCTTTACTGCTGTCATCAAAAATGTTATTTGTTGACAGCAAACCTCACACAAACATTTCCAAAATTAATTCAATTCAATTCAATGTATTCTTGTATAGCCCTGAATCAAAACAGTAGTTATCTGTGAGGACTTTACATAACTGTTGATTCGCCAACACATCAGAGAATCAAAACACAGTAATGTATTGATAAAAAAACACAAAAGAGGCAGATAGCCAATCTCCATAAATGCTGTTGAACGTTGCGTGTCCAGCAACATCGCCCCTGTCCTTTGACTCTCCTGCATCGGCAAGAAACAAGTCAAAAACCTGGCAACATTTTCATTCATTTCATTCATTTATTGATTCATTTCGAGCAGATCACATAAAAAATACCAAATGTAGAACAGCTGTACATAAGTACAGGAATAGAAAAGATTTGGCTCAAAAAGGAGTGGGAAGAAGAAAACGTATTGAATCCCACCCCTATTGTCCACTGTTTCATTTGTAAACTACTTTCACTTTAGAACAGAAAACTTAACGGAACAGTATGTACAAATCTGGCCAAAAGTGGTACTGCAGTCACAGTCAATATTTTGTAGTCCTCTCCCACTCTCCCTGACTCAGGTTGTCAGATACACACCAAATCCAGCAGCAAACACAGGGAATTATTTTATCAGTTGTTTGTCTGTCTCCATTCACATTGCCATGAGCCGTGCTAATGTTGAATGAATGTGAATTATTTTTATTTTTTTTGGACATTTGAGATAAAAAACAAAATAAAAGCAATGTAATTATAGATTATCCAAAATAAATAAGCAATTGATGTCCAAAATAGGAGTGGGAAGAATGGATGTTGTAACATATTTCTTCAGCGTATCAACATCAGGGTTTGCTCCAGAGGATATCACCTTTCAATTTTATTTATTCCCTATTTTTTAGACAAACATGTATAAGTCCCACATCAAAAAGAGACTAACATTATTTTAATTGGGGTACATGTGGCCTAAATGATTCTTTTTACAATTAAGCTATAATATGCAAAAAACGTCTTGACCTTCGCTTTTACCATATTTAGAGCAATCTGTCATAGAATGTGATAACATGCAGTTAAATACAAGAAGGCTCTGCCCAGAATCGAACCCGGGTTACTGCATCGTAAGCGCGAAGTTTAAACCACTCGACCACCGATTCGCGCGATGGAAAAAAAATTGTCTGAACAACGGAGTCAAACCAGCAAATTTTGCATCACACGTAAACTTTTATCAGTTGTCTCAATTGTTCAAAGGTATCCCGATATAAATCCTCGTTTTAGTCTTTGTTTTGTCATTAATTATTTGAGAGTCATAACAAGACCTTTTTTAGTTCTGCGGCCACATGTTATTTTACCACTGAGATTAATGAGCCGCGCGGAGTTCTGGCAACCCGATCACGGACTTCCATGGGACTTTTGGCGAAACGGCGGAGGGTAGGACATCAAAATCAAAACAATAACAACTTTTACGGGTCGTAAAACTAATTTTGATAATCAAATATCTCGGCTGAACTACTGTTATCAATTAAATATGTATTCGAAAAGAGCATGATTTAATAACGCCTTTTGAAATATGGGGGACATTTAATGATTACTTGACATGCAAATATTACATACTACTACTTTAAGTGCAATATAATTTACAGTCAAATATAGCTTATAGGATAGACAACATGCAAAGGATACAACAGTTTAGACATTTTCAGCAATTTTACATACCAGCGATAGTAAGGACAGAGGTACCAGCAATAGTAACACAAATTTACATACCAGAAATGGAAAGGACAGAGGTACCAGCAACAGTAACACAAGAGCAGCAGCATTGGAGCAGAAACAACGATGGTAAGAAACGTCAAAAACAGCACAAGAACTGATACAGATCCTGAATCCAGAACTCCGGCTAAAATCACACAATTCAGATAAATCTGTAAATGTGCATTGAATCAGAAGTAATTTCATTGTCATAAACTAGAAATTAGCTTTGGCTCATGGTGCAAACAACTTAAAGGAACAATATGTAAAACGCTGGCCAAAAGTGGTACTGCAGTCACAGTCAATATTTTGTAGTCCTCTCCCACTCTCCCTGACTCAGGTTGCCAGATTCACACCAAATCCAGCAGCAAACACAGGGAATTATTTTATCAGTTGTTTGTCCGTCTCCATTCACATTGCCATGACAGCCGTGCTAATGCTGAATGAATGTTTTGATTCATGTTTTTTTATTATTATTATTTGGACATTTGAGATGAAAAACAAAAACAAAATAAAAGCAATGTAATTATACATAGTTTATGCAAAATAAATAAGCAATTGATGTCCAAAATAGGAGTGGGAAGAATAGATGTTGGAACGTATTTCTTCAGCGTATCAACATCAGGGTTTGCTCCAGAGGATATCACCTTTCAATTTTATTTATTCCCTATTTTTTAGACAAACATGTAAAAGTCCCACATCAAAAAGAGACTAACATTATTTTAATTGGGGTACATGTGGTCTTAAATGATTATTTTTACAATTAAGCTATAATCTGCAAAAAAACGTCTTGACCTTCGTCTTTTACCGTTTTTAGAGCAATCTGTCAGAGAATGTAATAACATGCAATAAATACAAAAAGACATAGCCCGGGATCGAACCCGGGTTCCTGCATCGTAAGCGCACAGTTTTGACCACCGACTCACTGTGAAGAACGGACTCAAACTAGCAAATTCTGCATCACACGTAAACTTTTATCAGCTGTCTCAATTGTTCAAAGGCGTCCCGATATAAATCCTTGTTTTAGTCTTTGTTTTGTCATTAATGATTTGAGAGTCATAACAAGACCTTTAATAGTTCTGCGCCACATCTTATTTTACCTCTGAGATTAGTGAGCCGCACGGAGTTCTGGCAACCTGATCACGGACTTACATGACACTTCCTGATTGGCGAAACGGCGGAGGGTAGGACATCAAAATCAAAACAATAACAACTTTTACGGGTCGTAAAACTAATTTTGATATTCAAATATCTCGGATGAACTACTGTTATCAGTTAAAGATGTGTTTGAAGG